TCATCTGAGCCGTGGGCGGCGTCACAGTACCTGCCTTTGGGGTTAGCTCTTCGGTTGTGTCATTGATGCAAAGCTCTTACTACGGTCCTGGGGCACGGCGTGAACTGGAGTGGTCACTGCTGCTGTCATCAAGGTCGAAATCTCGAAGCATGGCACCTCTTCCATTGACTGTAATCAACCAAGTGGTTTTGTGTCATGTACCCTCAAATAGTAATAGACTCCACTGCAGGGAGAAGTGAAAGAACAAAGTTGTCACTCCCTCCTAATAAGGAAAAAGCACAGCGCATCACTTTGACGGTGTGTCTGATGACTGGGTGCCTTTGGATGGTCTGGGCGAGGCCTTCATGATGGGCAGAGGGACTGTAAGCTCAACGGGGGACACGGTCTCAGAGCGCTCCAGGCCGAGGGAGCAGCGTGAGCCGAGGGCTCTGTGCGGAGAGGAGGTCTGTTCTCTGGAATAAGCCCTGGATGTGTGACAGAGGGCAGCAGGGAGGGTCAAGGCTCGGAAGGCCACTGCCTCCTTGGAAGGGCTTTGAATGCAGTTAGAGTTGGGGCTCTGGCCTGTTGGCCTTGGGGAAGCCCTGTCAGCCCATCCTGGGGATCTTGCACACCTCACTCCTGCCCCCTAGAGGTTCAAGGGCTACCTCATATCCTCCCCTCAAAGAGATGTGGAATTGGGCTGGGCTGGCCTGGCTGTGGTGACCCTGGTTTTCTGTCTCCAGAGAGATCTTGGTAGAGGAGAGCAACGTACAGAGGGTGGACTCGCCGGTCACGGTGAGTACCATCTGTCCTTTCAGAGCCTAGCTTGGGCTTTTAGGCACATGGGCATTCCCCTTAATCTTGGGGACTGCCAAGGTCTCCCCCTCTTCCCTGAGAGCCCAGAAAGCCCCGTGTATCTGCTCCCTCTCCTAGCTTCAAGGGAGCCTTGCTATACGAAATGGATGTTATGGGAAGGCTCTTTTGATTTGTTGGGGGGATGCTCTTGGCCAGAGCAGAAGGCCTCTTAATATGGTGAGTGATTCTACTCCACACATTCCTGTGTATTCTGTTAGTAGTAGCTTTCTTCTGGGTTCTTTGAGGGGAACAGGGAGAGGAGGGGCCAGGTCCTCCAGAAGCTACAGGTCGAGCTGGAAAGACCGGGCTCTAGCTCTTCCACCCAGAATAGTTGGCACTCTGTGTGGGGTGGGGTGTGATTCCAGACCAGGCACAGTTGGGGTAGGGGAGTAGATTTTTGGCCCTGAGGAGTAGAGATTTCGCCAGGAGTGGTAAGGCGCTCTTGAAGCAGTGGGTGTTCTGAGGGCTGGTCCCCGGGGGCAGAGCTCTCAGACTGCGTGAGTTCCGGCCCGCCTCTCCTCACTTCCCAGGTGTGCGGCGACATCCACGGGCAATTCTATGACCTCAAGGAGCTGTTCAGAGTAAGTGTGCGGAGACTCGGGGACAGGGGACCTGGGGGCTGACTGGAAGGCCCCTCTCACTGAGAATGGAAGCTTTGAACTGGGTGCGTGGAGTGTGGGTTAGAGGCCTCTAGTTAGGTGGGCCCTCCGAAAGATGGGCTGCCACTTGACTGGCAAACGGGCTGCCATGGTAGGGGACATTTTGGGACCAAGCAGAATCATCTTCCCCGCCGCAGGTGGGTGGCGACGTCCCTGAGACCAACTACCTCTTCATGGGGGATTTTGTGGATCGCGGTTTCTACAGCGTCGAAACGTTCCTCCTGCTGCTGGCACTTAAGGTGGGAACCCGGGCTGCGGGTGCCCGCAGCTGGGCCCTCAGACCTGAGCTGTCTGTGTCCTTTCCGCCCGCTCTCCTGCCTCATCCGCCTCCCGCTCTGAGCTGTGCTGCTGGGGTGCAGCTTGCTAGGGGGTGGGCAGAGCCGCTCTCCTCGGCTCAGGGGCGTCTGATGGGGCCCCTGGAGGAGGAGTCGGAGGTGCGCGTTGGAGGGGAGGGAAGAGAGCCCCCCCCCCCCGCCATGTTCAGAAAGTGGCAGGGCATTGAGTTCGCCTAGGTCCGGTATCCATTGGTGGGCGAGATGACAGGGCGCCTGGGGATCTGGGGAAGGACTTGGTGGTGAATGAGTAAGTTTGTGGTTGAGGGAGAGGGGTCAGCCTCAAATCCCCCGGAGGAGGGGCTGGGGCCTACGCGCTGGATGCAGCAGGATTCAGGCATGAGATGACAGGATTTGGGGCGGGGGTGGGGCTGACACCTGTGAGGAGGTCTGGGAGGGGTGGGTGAGGTGACGAGGGAGAGACAGACCCCAGCCCCGTGTGGGTGGCTGCCCGCAGGTTCGCTATCCTGACCGCATCACCCTGATCCGGGGCAACCACGAGAGCCGCCAGATCACCCAGGTCTATGGCTTCTACGACGAGTGTCTGCGCAAATACGGCTCGGTGACCGTGTGGCGCTACTGCACTGAGATCTTTGACTACCTCAGCCTGTCGGCCATCATCGATGGCAAGGTAGGCCAGCCCCTGAGCCCTGCAGGGATGGGGTGGGTGGGAGAGGTGCGGCGCCCAGCTTGCCTTTGCTCCTTTCTTGTCTCCCTGTAGATCTTCTGCGTGCACGGGGGCCTCTCCCCCTCTATCCAGACCCTGGACCAGATCCGAACGATTGACCGAAAGCAAGAGGTGCCCCACGATGGGCCCATGTGTGACCTGCTCTGGTCTGACCCCGAAGGTGAGGGCGGGTGGGCGGGTAGGGGCAGGCGGGCTCTCCCCTTCATTTGGCAGGAGACTGAGGGGCTCCTGTGGTAAAAGGGACAGTTAAAGGTTAAAGTGTGGAAGGGACAGTCAGGCCAGGCGGTGGGGAAGAGCAGAGCGGGGCTGGTCTCCACTGGCACCCTCGGTGAGGAGGTGCGTTGAGCTTGGAGAGGGGTTGGGCGTGTGTATCATCGCTCAGAGGCTTGTTTGGGACAAAACCATCTGTGCCCTCAGTGTGAAGGACCTTCTGCAGAGGGTAGACTCCCAGAATGCTGGCCCCATGAGGATCCCTCCTTTTGTGGGGTTCCCCAGCTCGTCTGGAGCAGAGCCGGGATTGAAAGCCGAGTCTCCCAAATACCCGTCCAGAGCTCCTTCTGTGATAACACAGCCTCCGCTCAGTCACTGCCCTGCCCAGCGGCCTGGCTGCCCCTCCCAGGGTGGCCGGGACAGCCCTCTTCACACCTGCTGGACCCACGGGGTCATGATCAGCGCCTCCTTTCGCTTTCGGGTACGCCTGTTTGGCCAGTAAATCACATGATCACTCTGATGACGGGGCAGCTCCAGCTCTCAGAAAATGCTTCCTCCCTTGGAGCTTCTCTGCTCCAGCATTTGCTGTCCTGTCTCCAGGATCCCCCAGAACACACTCAGGCCCTGGGCTCTTGCCCCGTGGGCCTGACTGGGAGAAAGGAATAGGGTGTTCTCTTTCGAAGGGCAGTGGGCACCAGAGAAGCCTTGAGGACACCCTCCCCCCCTCTCCCCCCCGATCCCTACCTTCCTTTGCCTCAGACACAACAGGCTGGGGCGTGAGCCCCCGCGGGGCTGGCTACCTGTTTGGCAGTGACGTGGTGGCCCAGTTCAATGCGGCCAACGACATTGACATGATCTGCCGTGCCCACCAACTGGTGATGGAAGGTTACAAGTGGCACTTCAATGAGACTGTGCTCACTGTGTGGTCGGCACCCAACTATTGCTACCGGTGAGCTGCCCGGGGCCAGGAGGTCGAGGTGGGGGCGGGGAGCCCTGCTGACCCACTCCTCTGACGCTGCCGCCCTCCTGCTCGCAGCTGTGGGAACGTGGCAGCCATCTTGGAGCTGGATGAGCATCTCCAGAAAGATTTCATCATCTTCGAGGCTGCTCCCCAGGAGACCCGGGGCATCCCTTCCAAGAAGCCCGTGGCCGATTACTTCCTGTGATCCCTCCAGCCCCTGCCCCTCCAGCCTCTCTGGCCCTCGGACCACTGTGACTCTGCTCTCGTCTCCCTACGGAGGCTGGGCATCTGGGGGTGGGGGGCTGTCTGGGCGCTGCTCTCCCCCCAAAGAGAGCACTGTGAGGGTGAGGACTTTCTCTGGAGAGGCTCGGAGCCTCAGCTCCATGCTCCTCTCCTTTCTCCCCACTTGAACCATGGAGTTTCCAATAATTTTTTGGTTTTCTTTTTTCCTTTTTTTTTTTGTTTGTTTTTAGATAAAAAAATTTTGAGAGAAAAAAAAGAAAAATTCTAATAAAAGGAGAAAAATGGTCTTTGGGTTTGTGTCAGACTTGATTGGTAATGAGCAGCACCGCCGGCCTGGGACCTGGGAGTTGCGCAGAGCACCTTGACTGCCCCGGAGCCTCCTGGTCTATATCCAGTGACAGTGACTGTTCCCAGAAGGCTTGCCACGGGCTAGGTAGAGGGCTGGGTTCTCAGAAGCAGCCTTATTTAATTCTCAAAACAAGTGAGTGTCAGGACATTCAGAGTTCCCCATTTCCCTGAAAAGGAAGTAGCCCCAGAGCCGTTGATTTACCTGCACGAGGTCAAGCAGCTGGAAAGTGGCAAGTCAAAATCGGGGCCCAGGTCTCCCCACAAAACCTTCACTGGCCTGGCCCCGCCCAGGGCTAAGCAGCATTAGCCGGCGTTTCTAAAGCACTGAGATCTTTTTAAGTTTTATTAACAAAAATACTCTGGTCCTGAGAACAGACTGGTGTGGCCTGCACTGGGGCGAGGGGGTAGAACTTGCGGAGCCCGAGGGTGAGGCCCAGGAGGTGGGAGTGCTGGGCAGTGGCCCCATTTGGCCAGGCAGAGCCTCCCTGCATTCACACGGAGGTGAGAGCCTGGAAGGGGAAGCTGGCCCCAGCACGACTCCCAGCAGCTTAGCCAGGGCTTTGAAGCCGGGGTGGGTGGGAGTGAAATCAAAGTGTGAAGTGGGGTGGTGGGGGAGGCCCCAGGCAGCCATTTGGTGTGGGGGATGGGGCCAGCAGGCCTGGGGGAAGGGCAGCGGAGGCCTGTGATGGAAGACAGGGAGGGAGGCAGAGGGGCCCAGTGAGAGCTCAGTACATTGGTTTGGAGCCCACATCCAGGTAAGCCCCAGGGCCAGGGTAGGCAAGGGGGAAGGGGCCCCCCTGGAGGAAGTGCGAGGCGAAGGGTGCCGGGGGTGCAGCTGCTGGGTATCCTGAGCCCCCCGGACCAGGCTGCAGCTCCAGGAACGCAGCCGAGTAGGGGGCCGGACGCCCTGAGTCTGGAGCCTCAGGGAAGCTGGGGTTCCTGAAGGAGAGACAGGTGTCAGAACAGGGGAGAGGGACCCCCAACCTTGAACAGCCCAGCTCTGCGCCTTTGTCCCACTTGCCTGGTTGGAAGGTGACTGGGGGCCCCATGAAAAGCCGCCGGGTGCAGAAGGTAGGCTTGGGCGCTGGAGCCACCACACGGAGGAGCTGGGGCTGGGGCAGCTTCGCGGGGGGCCTGGGCCTGCTCTGCATCCGGCTCGCGGACATCCCCACCCAGCGTGGAATCGCAGGGACCGCCTGGTGCATCTGGGGAGACGGAGGGGACAGGCTGGGCTAAGGAGGACTGGCACCTGAGGACTGGCCCCCGTCACTACTGAGACTACGCTCACCTCCACTCCCATAGGCCTCTGCGGCTACCGGCTCTGGGCCCCGCAGTTTCCTCTTCACACGGGCATCTCGCTCCCTGGAGAACAGTGACAATGATGATGATGGTGACGGTGATGATGATGGTGATGATGATGGTAATAACAGCACTTGCCAGGTGCCAGGCATTTCACCCTCCCAGGGACCCTGTCGGGTAGGTGCCGTTATTATACCCATTTTACAGATGAAGGAACTGAAGGCCAGAGAATTAAGTGACTAGAAAGTGGCGGAGCTGGGCTCAATTTCTCCCTTAAAACTTTCCAATGCTTTCCTATTGCATGTATTGCATTTGGGAAACTGCTTCCCAAGCTAGAAGGCCAGGGCACGGTCTGAACCCAGCTCATCCCGCCTGGCTTGCCAAGCCATCATTAGCTATCTTGCCGCCGGACTCGGGAATCTTCTTCTGTCTGCCCCTGCTCCCCTGTTTAGCTCATCCTTGTCTCTGTTCCCGTTCTTGTCTCACTTCCTAAAGGAAGTCCTCCTGACCTCCCACAGCACGACACAACCTCCCTCATGACATCTGTCCACAGTTTACATTTGTTCGGGTGACCCTTTGATTAATGGCTGCCTGACTGTACATGTCTTGAGAGAGCCAGAGTCCCCAATAAACCTTTACTGTCCAACATAACGTGGCTTCCCTTCGCCTCTGACTTGCCGCTTCCACTCCAGGCACACCACAGGCGCCGTCCTCCCTCAGAGCCCTCGCATAGGCTGTTCCCACTTCTTTGCCCCGCTTTTCCTCAGATACCCACTATACGTCCTTCAGGACTTGTCCAGGTCTCTAATCTAATACATACCTCACTCCGATCCTTCCTATCTTCCTTCCTTCCTTCATTTCTTTTCTCTTCAGAACTTATCCCTAACATACTATATTTTACTTATTTCTGTCTACTTGCCTACTCTGTCCCCTCGAGTATCAGTCCCGTTAGGGCAGGGGCTTTGGTTTTGTTCACTGATGGATCTCCAGTGCCTAGAACTGTGCTTGGCACACAGCAGGTGCCAAATAGGAAGCAACGAGTGAATAAATGTCTTTACTTACCACTGTGTTCCTGGTCAGCTCACAAACATTTGCTGAATGAACGAGGGAATGAATGAACAATGCCCACCTCTTACAGTTTCTGCCATTCTCCCGGAAGCCCTTGGCAAAGGGATTGGCTGCGATCTTCAACTGTGTGATCTGGGGACACACACATCCAGGGTCAAAGCTCCCATGGCCCCGGGGGCAGGGCCCACCGCCACCCTCAAGCGGGGTCACTTACCCGCGGGTTCTGGTAGGCTGTCACAGAGATGAATGTGGTCTCAGGGAAGCGGAAGGAGGCGACGCCACCCCAGTGCTGGCTGCAGAGCTGGGCTGCCCGCACCAGGTGTATGCGGGGCTGGTACTTGTGCATGGAGTGCAAGATCAGCTGGGAGAGAAGGACCGAGCTGACTCCCTGCCTGGGGCCCCACCCCCACCCCTCAGCCTGTCCTCCCTGCCGGCCCGGGCCTCACATGGCCGTGGGGGTCCAGGGTGCTGTTGGTGAGCTTGACACGGTGGAAAGACACAGGCTGCCGCATCCAGTGGGCGCCCGTGGCAGGAGAGTCGGGGTGTATGTAGACGCGGTCAGGCAGGCGGGGCTCCGCCTTGCCGCTGGGCTCCCAGCGCCGGCCCTGCCAACGGTAGCGAGCCCCATCCACTGGAACCACATCCAGAAGAAACAGGTAGCGGGCCTCGGGGTCCAGGCCAGTGACTGATACTCGACAAGCAGGGAACATGCGCCTGGACAGGGGAGGGGATGGGAGAGGCCTGGCACTACCCACTGGCCAGGAGTGGGCACAGCGCCGGCAGGGGCCACGGCCACCGCGGGCTCACCCAGCTTTGTCAGAGAAACATCCAGGGAGGTGGAATTAGAATTCAGAGGGCAGGGTCTTCGAGCTGGAGGCTTGTCTCATCCCATTTTACACACGGGAAACAGGACAGACAGGAGATCTGACCAGGGTCACACAGCAGATTAGGAGCAGAGCCCGGACCCCTGACTCCTTAGCCCCTCCAACTCCACTGCAGAAGCGGTGGCGACACACTTCTGTCCCTAAAATCTTGCCAGGAGTCTGCTGCTCCCCACTCTGGTCTCCTCACCTAATCTCCAGCACCAGAGTCTACACCGCTGGCCAAACCTGCTTCGGGAAAAAAAATGTCCTGCCTGCATTGAAGCAGAGGACTTAGCATGCTCGGGCCCGAGCTCCCGGCCTAGAAAGACACGGGCCACACACTGACCACATCCCTGCCTCCAGGGTGACCCCAGACCTAGTCACATACTGACCCTGATCCCGGCCAGATTTCCCTGAATACTGGTCCCTGGCTGACCCTTGACCCTAGTCATAGTCTGAACGCTGGCTCCAGCCGCAGGCTGACCCCCGGTCTGGGCCACAAATGAACCTATAACCCAGCCAGACTTTCTGACCCAGACCCAGAATGACATAGGACCCTTGTGATAGGTTGTTCCTTAAATCAGCTACAGATTCCACAGACTGACCCTTGGCCCTTGCCACCGAATGACCCCTGATCCAGCCTTAGAGTAACCCTTGACCCAGGCCACACTTGCACCCTGAACTTAGGCAGAGCTCTAGACCCTCTAGCAACCCCCAAACCTAGCCCCATCACCAGGAACTCTGCCTTTCCCAAAAGACCCCCACCAGGAACACACTGGGCCCTTTGACCCTGGCCCAGCCCCTCACCTCCCAGCTTTGGTGATGATCATCTCTGTTCCCACAGAGTTGAACTCTTTCCACAGCTCCCGGTTCTCCAGGCTCAGGCTGACTCCAGGGAGCGAGTGAAGGGCCTCTGGGGCTGGGGGGGCCGGCTCAGTGCCCAGGGCTGGGGGCAGCGGGGGCAGGGGTGGGGGAGCGGCCAGGGTGCAGGGAGCAGCCTCAATCCCGGAGAGGAAGCAATCCAACTTGGGAGTGTCCAGATCTGGAGATGGGGGCAGAATGAGGAGCCAACAGAGGGCCACAGCCCCCCACGGTCCCTACACAGGAGCTGATCCCCATGCTCACCAGGGTAGCGGTAGCCCTCTGCCAGGGCAGGCGGGAAGCTGGAATCTGTCCCCGGCTGGGGGGGCCCAAGGCGGTAGCCTGTCCCCAGGGAGGAGTACAACTCTCGTGGATGGTACATGGATGGAGTAGTCCTGTCTGGCCTCAGGTCACGCTGCCTAGAGTCGGTCCCCCGGTGCTGAGAGATGCCCCCTTTATAGCTCACAGCTCAGCCCCTTCCAGACCCAGGATCACAGCCCCTCCCCTATTTGGGGCCCTGGAGTTGGGCTGGGGTGGAGACCCCTGGGGCCTGGAAGGGGTCCAAGAGGGGGCCGGATACCTGGGTACCCTCCCCTTCTCTCCCCCCCACCCCAGGCTTCATTAGCTCCGACCCCCTGCCCCCTCATTACATAATTAACTCCTCGGCCTGATTGATCCCCGGGGGCTCGACAGGGACGCAGTTTGGCGCTTCCGGCCAGCTGGTCCCCGTTCCCACGGGGGGAGCCCCGGCTAGGGATAAGCTACTCAGGGGCGGGGCCTGGACCCTGGGATGGAGCCTAGAGTCCTGGGGCAGACCTTGGCGCCCCAGACTTTTCTAGCAGGTACCCCCAACCCCCTTCACTTGGAGGCCAGGGCTTGGAGGGATGAAGCATGACTGGAGGGAAAGAGCAGGGCTGGAGGGACTCGGCCTAAGCTTATTGTTACGCGGGGCACTGGGGACCTTGAGGAGTCCGCAGCCGAGGCCCGAACCCTGGAGTCCTTCCTTCCTGCTTCCCATTCTGCAAAACCTCCACCCTCCGCAGAGTCTCCAAAGTGCAGAAGCACGCACAGTTCAGACAGTCTCTAACGGCCGGCGCCGGAGTTTCCCAGAAGGTCCCGCGCTGGGGAACCCTCGGAACTACATTTCCCAGCAGGCCCAGTGCCCAGACTCGGTGTGAAGGAGACGGACAGATGCCGCTGGGGCCGCTGGAAATTGTAGTCGCGACGAGAGGGGCGGTGAAACCGGCGGCGCAGAGCGCTTGCCTCTAGGCGGCGGCAAAACGCTAGAGCAGAGACGGCGCAGATCAGCCGAGGTCAAGGCCTAGGCTGGCAGAGTGGGGTCGGGAAGCTCCATGGGCAGTGAGATCGGTCCTGGGTCTCAGGGCTGAGCCCCCGGCGCGCAGACTCCTGGCTTTGACCGCAGTGCCTACCCCATGCCATGTGGGGCCCAGAAAAGAACAGGTCTACAGAGGCAGGAATCTGCATTTGAGTCCCCCTTTCCCGGATTCCACGTGAGCCTGGGGCTGTCTCCACTCCATTGTTTTATTATGTACAAACGCTACAGAACGAGGGGAGCAGACACGCGTGGGGTAAGAGGGGCCCGGTGGGAGGAGTTCACAGGGCAGACGGCGCACCGGGGCCGGGGGAGCAGCACACGGGCCATATCTATAGGGCAGGCGGGGCAGGAAGGGGTTAAAAACGAGATCCAAGCCAGCCAGATCGCAGGGAGGTGTGGGGGTGTCGTCCACCTTCAGATCTCCCCCCAAGGTCACAGTGCATGCAATAAAATATATGTACAGGAGCTGGATCCGTCCTCTGCAGGGGCCCTGAGGGTCCAGAGCTCCCTTCTCGTGGAGGGAAGCCAGTGGCGCCCCCTGGCGGCCAGGCCGGGCTCGAGCCACATGCGGCAGGAGCAGGGGTCAGTCCCAGCCGTTGTCTTTGATCATGTGGTTGAGTTCAATGATGTACTTCCCCTCTTTGTACTTCTGGCTGCTCTCGAAGGCCTGTTCCTGAAAAGGGGAGAAGACATAATCCCTGGAGCAAAGGCTTTACCAAAAGGGATCGGGGTTGGGGAGCAGGTATGACTGGCCCCATTTTACATATAACAAAACTGTGTGCAGAGAAGCCCGACCACCTGGCCACAAGACACAGAGCTGGTAAATGACAGAGCCAGGTTTCTCACTAATGGGACAGACCGAACTCTCTGAATTACCGGTACTTTTTAAGTACTAATGTTGGCGCCAACAGAGAGGGTATGAAGTTTCTAAAAGATCCAGGGATTACAGACTTTTAGCTAAAGACCTGTTTTGATCTATGCAATGTGTTTTGTTTGGCCAGCAGAGAGTTTAGTAAAAATAACTTTAAAGTACCAAAATATAGGTGAGGCCAGGCTCACTCCAGTTTGCCAGAGACTGCCCCTTCCCTCCCCAGATCTATGTTGCCCCTTTTGCAGACCCACAGTATCTTGGCCCTGCAAGCACTTGAGTTTTTGACCTCTGGATCAGGCCATCTCTTCATTTGACAGAGGTCCAGAGAGGTTGAGCCACCCATCTGGGGACACAGAGCAAACGTGTGGCAAGGCCAAGGGTGAACTCGGGTTAGGGCAGCCTGCCTGGGGCATCCACCCCACAAAGGTACCACAGCTCCAAGTGATGCCCGAGGAGCCCTGGCCCTTGCCATTTCCCAAGAGCATCTTCTCTTGCCGCATCTAATCTGGTCCCTGTAACAATTCTGGGTGCCAGGTGGTGGCTTTCTCCTCCACTGCCTGATAAGGAAATGAGACTCAGGGTAGTGAAATCAGACCCTGGACAGCAGCTGAGGCAATGAGGGCAGTGAAAAGGCGGCTCATGGACCCAAGCTCCATGTTGCTGTGGGGTCTTGGGCAACTTCTCTGAACCTCTGAATGGCAGTGGAAGCTGGCCGTCAAGGATGTGGAGTTAAAAACAAACAAAACACACAGCCAGGATTCTGGTCCCTATGCTGTTCCTTACAGTTGTGTGACCTTGGGAAAGTTACCTAACATCTCTGGGCCTTCTTTTCTTCTGTGAAGTGGAGTTAATAATAGATTCTACCCACAGGATTGTTGTAACGATGGAATGAGATAATGTGTGCCAAGCACACACAACAGTGCATGGGCCATAAGCCCTCAATAAATGGTCATTCTGATGGTGGCCTCATCTCTAAGATGGGGTGAGGAGAGCGATGGGTGGAGAGAAAAGTTCTGGAAGCCCTTGCAGGATGTGACAGAAGACAGCATGGCCAGGGGATGAAAAGACAGTCTGACTTGTGGGAGCTGGGCCTGTGCGCTCTGAAAGAGGACCACATGACTCCTTGTGAGGAGGAGGTGAGGTGAGGTTGGGTCAACGGGTAGCCTGAGGTCAGAGGTCACAGACTCACATATTTCCAGCCCAAAGTTGTCTTGCAGTTCTCGCAGTGGATGTCAGCGACAGCATGGAGGCCTGTCAGCAGCACCCGCTCCTCGGCTGGCCCGCAGCCCACGTTCACCCTGTGGGGACATGGGGGCAGTCCCAGGGAGGGTCCCGCCATCACAAAGCCCCCCTCTAGCTTGTATCCAACTGTGTCTGTCTTTAGCATCCAAGAGAAGGGCCATCACATCTTCCAACCTGAATCAGGGGACTCTGGGAGTCTCGGCATGATGCCAGGAGTCACAGGTCACAAGAGAGGTCAGGGAAAGAAAGAAGGGAGACCGGATACTCACACAGAGTTGAAGAGGTAGGCACGCCCCTGACTGCCCTGGAAGGACTAAGAGGGGAAGGGAGAAAGGAAGGGAGTCAGGGCTATTGGTGGAGAGTTGCCAGGTAGCCCTTCTAGCCTCTCATTCCAGCCCCAGCCGTGACCTGGTTACCTTGGAGATGAGGTCGTCGTGGTTGGCCAGGTGAGCGCGGCAGTGGGCACAGCTATACCTCCGGTGACAATCATCCAAGTAGGCCTGAAACGTCTTGGGCTTTGAAATCCGCACCATGGCGGGGGCCGGGGGCAGTGGCCCCACGCGGGGAGCAGCCCACGGGGAGCAGAGGGAGCCCAGTGCCTGCCGGGGAGGGAGTGAGTGGGCTGTCAGGCCCCGGGCCACATACATGCAGGCACACCCAGGGCCATAGGGACTCTGTCACACTTGGCTGCTGTCTCTTCTCCCCAGAGCCAGCAGCCTCTCCAGGGGCCAGAGCCGGCTCAGTTTTGACTCACTGAGGAGGCCTCAAGTTGCATCATGGGGAAACTGAGGCTTGGAGGAGCCTGAGGTGAGTCACCCATCCACTTCCGGCCTCACCCCTGCTGACCTGGCTACTGAAGCTGGAGGAAGGGGTTTTAGAGTGGATGAGCTGTCAGTTCTGGTTTAGGGGGAAGTATGGAGGGATTAGGAACTGGATGGTCCTTAGGTCCTTAGAACCTCACCTGAACTGCCAAGGGCTGGGGTGGGGTGGGGTGGGTGGGGAGTGGGGGGAACGCGGCTCCACTTGAGGTACAGGGAGTTCACCTGGGGAAAGGGTTCCTCACCTGGAGAAGGCAGAGGCCCTCACTGAAGGTGGAGGGTCACCTAGGAGGGGAGGGGCTCTTACCTGGGGGGCGCCGAGGCCTTGTCTGTGCCGAGGGGCTCTTACCTGCATCGCGGAGCCTTACCTGAGACCCCGGGGCTCACCTGGGGCGCAGGGGTGGGGGGCGGGCGCCGGGGGAAGGGGGCAGTCCTCGCTGGCGGGGCGGGGGCCCGGGGCGACGCGCAGCCCTGACGATGCGGGCCTCACCTCGCCTGGGCGCGCGGGGGCCCGGTCCGCCGGGGTGGCCTGGCCTGGGAGTGGGGGGCGCTCCTGGTGGGCGCCGTCCCCCCCGGCCCAGGTTCGCAGCCGCCGCGACTTGTTTACACCGAGACCAGCTGCTGCCGCCGCTGCGGCGGGAGGGGGAGGGGGCCGGCCTCCGGTCCCGGCGGTTGCCGTGGCCAATCGGCGCGCCGCATGCAAATGAGGGGGCGCGTCACACAGCGGCCAGCGCAGGCCCGGGCTGCCCTTCCCCCTGCTCCCCGCTCCGGCCGGCCCGGAAATGCGGCTGCGGCCGCAACCCAGCCCGCCGGCCCCGCGGGCCCGGGGCGCGTCGCGTGTCTGGCCTCCCGCCGTCCCCGAAGGGGCCCGGCTTTGCGGTGCCAGACCTGGCGCGGGGTTAGGAGGGGGATGGTGCCTGGACGCACGTCCCCGGGGAAATAAGAGTCATGATTATCGCGTTCAACCACCGCCCGTGCCCCACTCTTAATCCCTGCAGCAATCCTATGAGGCGGCTTTTGCTATTGTTCCCATTTAACGGGGGAGCAGAGGTCAAAGAGATCCAGCAGCTCTCCCGAGGTTATCCAGCTGGGAAGAGGCAAAGTCGGGATTCACTTTGGTCGGATTCCACGGTCTTTGCCCCGGCAAAAGGCACCAGGGAAAGGCTCTTGGCACAGAAGAGCTAACGGTGCCCATCCGCTTTAGGCCTCTGGGAGCCAAAGCCTCGGAACAAGCCAGTTCCTACTCTTGAGCATCACCTCTTCCAGGCAGCCTCCTTTGATGCCCTTGCCTCTGCAGGCACGGTTAGTTTACACAGGCTTCTACCCTACTAGGCTTGTCTTACTGCCTGCAGTGGCCGCAGGATGCAGCCTGGCCTAGAGTAGTCAGCAAATGTTGGTGAAATGAGATTTGGTCAGTGAATAAGGTACTAGGTCTGGAGAGGGCTGAGGAGTTTGGGGGAGCCTCTGGCTTAGATCTGGGGCAGCAGATGAGCACCGAGGACTCAGCCTCTGCAGCCCATGGGGCCAGATGAAGTCCCTTGCTGTGTGCCTGGCGCTCTTCATGGCCTCAGGAGAATAGAACCCGTGGCTCTGAAAGGGCAGGAGGCCTTGCTCCTTCCTGCAAGGGACATTCCTGAGGAGAGTGGAGGCCAGGATGGCATGGGGTGTGGCACTACTCTGGGTCTGGAATGTGGTGGAACCAGCAGGTCAGGCTGCTTAGGGCCCCAAACTCTGGCCCCAGGCTGGCCTCTTCTGCCCTCAGCTGCCATCTTTGCAGGAGGCTAGGATCTCCTCCCACCCGTGTCCCCCAAACACCAAGATGTGACTCAAAAGAAGGTATTTATTGGGGAAGAGACATAGAGGAGAGGGTGAGGGCCTCCGGGCTTTTAGGAGACCTGGGCAGCTCCTCCGCGGGTGTCCAGGTAGCGCCTCAGTGCTGTAGGGTAATCAGTTATGACGCCGGTGGCCCCCAGGCCGTAGGCGGCTTCAAAATCCGACTCTTCGTTGAGGCACCAAAAGATCACCTGAGTGGGGACGGAGGGGCTCATAGTTTCACACAATTTACCTGGAACTTCCCCTTGCATCTAGATGGTGGGAGCTCTCCTCCCCTGTGGAGACCTCCCAGCAGTGGGATGCTGGGGCGAATTGTTGGATCATCAGGAATTTTGTAAGCTGGTTATTAAACACAACCATTATGAAATACTAAATTATATAAACTTGTAATTCAGTAAACGATCTTAAAAACGAAGGTAATAAATACTCAAAATTCTCTTCTGTTCCTAATTATTTTACTACATGTTACTATTACCCATGCTCGGGAGGGTAGTCACATCTGTTGAATGTGGCAGGTGGAAATACTACCCAAACTCTGTGCTCAATGACTTCGTGTTGGCTGCCTGAAATCGGACAAGGTGAGAGTACATACACCAGGGAAATCATCTATTGCTCAAACACAAGCCCCTTTTCCTCTTCTCTGCAAAGCTGGCTGAGGAACATCCCCCAGCCTGCCCGAGTCTGCTGCTTCTCCGTGTCTTCCCTTTACTGGAGCTTCTCTTGTGGGCATGGCGGTGGGGAGGGAGGGTACTGGTACCCTGGGCAAGTCGCCGGGCCTCTCGGTTTCTTAACGTGGCAAATGGGAATGATGGTCCAAAGCTGAGTTGTGGTGAAGACCCTCGGAGTTGGGGGGGCTAATCTGAAGGAGGTGTGTCATCCGCACGCCTCACTCACCCCCGCGTCCAGGCCGTGGAGTCCCAGCCTGCCCGCTAACTCCTCCACCCATCCCCCTGCTTGCCCTCTACGCCCGACACCTGGCAGTGACAGCACATGGTGGCCAGAGTGACCCTTAATGGGGTCACCCAACTGGATCAGGCCTCTCCCCTGCTTCAGACCCTCGAAAGCTTCCCTTCCTCTAGGCTGAAGTCCGGGCTCCTTGCTGACACTCACAGGCTGCCTGCCTCAGCCTCTGCTGCCTTCTCCGCCCCGCCCGGCCACTTCCTCTACACTGCAGCCTGCTGGAACCCCGCTCAGTGCCTCCACTCAGTGCCTGCCCTGGCCTCGGGCTCCTCCCGGCCCTCCCACACGCTGAGCCTCCTGCTGGAGACGCTCTCCCTTTCCTCTCCTCACTTCTTCCAGAAGGCCTCCTCTGACCCTGCAGATCATGGCGCTGTTTCCTTTCTGTCCACTGGGTGCCCTGTGATTGTCTGCCTCACTTCCTGCCTCTGCCCCTGATTTGATGGTAAGCTCCCTGGTACCGCGGTGCCTGCAACGCAGTGTGTTCTCAACAAAGGTCTGCGAATTAAATGACCTCGTCAAAGTGAATGTCCAGGGGCGGGGCGAGGAGTAGACTGGGCCCATTTTTCCCTTCTCTGGTCCTTCCCCAGCCCCATTAACCCTCTCCTCAGGAATCAGGACATGAGTAGGTTCAATACATCATCATCATAACGGCTAGCACTTATCAAGCCGTTAGGAAGTACTAGTCAAATACACCATTACCCCCACTTCACAGATCAAGAGACTGAGACTCCCAGGTGACCTGCCAGGTGACCCGGTTAGTTGGTGGCAGAGCTGTGACCAGGACGCTGTGCTAGGCCCAAAGTGCGAACCACCACCTGCTGAGGAGGTGGCGGTCAAGCCTCACCTGCACTCCTCGCTGTTCCAGGTGTCGGATCAGACTCTTCCTCATGATTAACCTGGTTGGGGGGGGGTTGGCAGAGGCCCTGATGAGAGGGGATGAAGGGCAGTGGGAGGTCTCCATGGGGACACGCCACCCGGCATTCTTGCCCTCTTACCATTTGGAAACCACAGCTGCCAGCTTGTTCAGCCCAGAGTAGGAAAATGGGAAGTAGGTCCTGCAGAGAGGTGGTGGCATGGTCAGTCCCCTGCGTCTCACTCTGTCGCAGGGGTGGGGTGGTAGTGGTAGTGTGGTAGTGTCACCCTGGCTCCTCTAGAAGAATCTCTGCAGTTGCCCAGATGAACAAGTCCCCTGTCATTCCGTGAGAGTCTACTCCCACATCCGTGCATCCATACTCTGAGTGTGCCTGTCCGCCCTCCCCCCCCACCCCGCCGTTTTACAGAAGAGGAAACTCAGTTTGGGAGAATCGAAGTGACCTGCCCAAGGTGTCACAGCACATCTGTGGTGGGGCCAGGGCCGAGACCAGAACCCAGCTTGATTGTCAAACTGGACGCACAATCTGAAGGTCCCGTGGTTGGGCCCGACCAGCCTCCTGCGGCTGGACAAGGCTCAACGGGTCTGCTGCTTGCCCTGATTGGCCCACTTCAGGGATGACTTTGGAGGCCCTTTATAATGTCCCAGCGCAGGCTCTGGAGTCAGACCCAGGCAAACTTGGGCCCTGCAGTTCTAGCTATGTGGCCTGGGGCAAATTCCAGAGCCTCTCTGAGCCTCAGATTCTCCATGGGTACTATGGGGGTCACAATTCCTGTAACTTCTGCGTTGCTGCAAGGTAAAGCCCTAATCAATTAAAGGATGTGAAGACACTTTGCAAACTTTGTATAAAAAGTTATGTACAGGGGAGCCTGGGTGGCTCAGAAGGTTAGGCATCTGCCTTCGGCTCAGGTCATGATCCCGGGGTCCTGGGATCGAGTCCCACATCGGGCTCGCTGCTCAGCAGGGAGTCTGCTTCTTCTCCCTCTCCCTCTGCCTGCCGCTCCCCCTGCTTGTACTCACTCTCTCTCTAATAAAAAAAAAAAAAAGTTATGTACACAAATTTCTGTAGTCTAATGATATCTTTGTAGCAAGGGATTGTAGGGGCTGGCTGGGAGCCTCCCTTGGGACAACAGGGCGGGAGAAGAAAGGCTGGAGCTGCCACAGAGTTCTCAGAAAGCAAAGGGAGGGGCCGGGCTTAAGAGCTGGCGAAGTATCCAGATTCCTGATACTTTTCCCAGCTGTTACTTTGTTAATCCTGGTCTCCCAGCAGGAGAAAGCTTGCTTTGCCTTTTGAGAATCAGAGCATGATACTATAATTGATTAATATTTGTCTCCCAGACTGTGAACTCACGGGGGCCTTACCCCACCCACATCTTATTTACTAGTATAACTGCACCTGGAACAGAGTAGACACTCAATAAATAATTTGTTGGATGAATGGATGAATAAATGAATACTTTGTCCTAAAACTCCACCCACATCAACACACATCTGCATCGGGTTTCAAGGGATTTGTGGCCTCCCCCTATGGTATTCATGAATGCTCGCTGAGAACCAGTGTCTTCAGAGGACCCTGGGGGTTATCCCTGAGGATGGCCAGGGAGCTGGGGACCCTGCATCATGGGGTTTGAGGTGGGGGGGTCTTTATCTGAGGACAGAAGCATCTGGGGGACTGGGGGAGGATGCAGAAGGGAAACAGGGACACTGTGAGTACCTATTGATGGTGGTGGGCAGGAAGCAGATGAAAAACCTCTCGGGGATGTGGACGAAGGGCAGCAACCCCAGGTAAAAGAGCAGCACCAACCACAATCCTCGGCTTATCGTGAAGGCGAACGGCATCTCGGGGTTCTGGGAGGCATGGGGAAGTGAGAAGGGGGTCAGTCTGCTTCTGGGAAAGCAGAGAGGAGCCTCAGGTTGCAGGGGGAATAGTGCAGGACATAGAGGAAGCGCCACCACCTGCAGGATCAAAGCTGTGATCTTGGCCCAGTGTTTAGGCCTAACTGCACCCCCCTGCCCCTGGCCAGTTCCCACCAGCACGCCTTTGCTCACACTGTCCCCGGTTCCCACCAGCACGCCTTTGCTCACACTTTCCCCAGCACCTCTCCTCTCCGAATCCTCCCCTTTGAGACCCTGCTCGGGGCCAGGTCCTCCACAACCCCCCAGACCTGTCCAGCCTCGGCCCGTAGAGCCTCCAGCTCCTGGGAGGAGGGGCCGCTGGAACAGGGAAGGCACCCGGACTCACGGCAGCCCTGCACTTCTTCATGATTGAGCTCTTTTCTGAGGCCCAGATGGTGATTTCATTGCGGTCAAAGTGCCTCACCAGGCCTGCTACCTGGAGGAGGAGGAGGGGGAGGAGATGAAGAGGGGGGTCAGGCCTCTCTCCAGCCCCAGGCCCCTGGCCACCCTTGCCCGTAGTCCCACCTTGTTAATGAGCTCTTCATTTACTGATTTGACCTCCACACTCACGGGCATCCGAGGGAACCTCCGGAACACGTCCTCCAGGCTCACCATGCGCCGGTCTGTCCCGTGTGCAAAGTGGCCTGGGTGGGTTGTTCAAGAGGGATCAGAGGGGTATGGATGGGGTGGGGTGGGAACCCAGCAGGGGCTGGGGGGGAGGGAAACAGAGTCCCAGAGGAGAAGAGAGGGCAGGAGGCTGAGGCCATGACCCCACTCGGTGAGGTCACGCTCTCACCTGGTGAGAAGTAAACCTCCAGCTCCTCTTTGCAAAGGGGCAGCTCCTGGGGAGAAAGGGGGTACGTCACCAGGAGGCACGCGTGGAGGCACGGTGGCTCTCGGTATGGTGGGGGGGGGGGCCAAGGCGAGGCCCACCTCAAAGTCCAGGCTGCTCACGTCCCTGTTCACGCCTGACAGGCGAAACAGGTTCTCGTCGTGTGACACCACCACCACACCATCCCGGGTCAGCCAGCAGTCGAGCTCCAGAAAGTCGGATCGCTGGGCCACGGAGCTATGGGAGTGAAGGTCAGTGCGGGGAGTGGGGGGGCCCAGGGGAAGGGGCAGGCCAGACCCCAGGGCGGTGGGGAGGTTGAAGGGGGCATGGGGCAGAATTCACGGTAGGATGTGCAGGCTCTGCACTGCACACCTCCAGGGGGCCCCAGGCACTCGAACTAGGAAGGGAGTGGCACCCCCTGGTGTCACACAGTGCATGACTGGGACGACCTCAAGCGGGCAGCCTGGGGTGGCAGGTGCATGCACTCACTTCTCCATGGCCTCCATGGTGTGCTCCAGCCGCTCCCCGGATCCTGTGCAGGGCAGCTGGGTGGGTCCCAGGGGCCTGGCCTCCCCCTTCGCTCCTCACCCCCGGCCCCCTCTTCCCGCTTCCACATCCCGCCCTGCCACCCTGCTCTCCTCCTCCCTCGGGCTCTGCCCTCTAACAGCCTGCCGCCGGGACCTCTCCTGCTGCCGTCCGCCCTGGTCCCTCGCGCCCGACTCTACCCTCCGTAGCCGCCATCACCATCCTCCCTTACGGGTGCCCAGCTCACCTGCCCGGTGGGCTCCCAGGCGCGGCAGGAAGGCTGGTGCCCAGGGCGTGTGCAGCAGGCGAGGCCGGCGCAGGAAGAAGACGGAGAGCATGACATAGCTGCCCAGGGCGGGCAGGGCATAGTACAACACCGGGCTCATGGCCACACCGCCTCTCCGGGGCTCCCGCTGCGTGAGCCCCGACGTTCCTGGGGGACTGTGCGGCCTCCGCCGACAGCCTGGCTGGTGTAGGCTGGCTCTGCCACTGGTTGCCACCACACCCCTGGGACCTGCTGAGCCTGCTCCTGGCCTGGGGCCAGGCTGCAGGGCTCAGCTGGGGATGGGGGAGAGGCAGGAGGAGAGGCTTCCGGCAGCTCTGGCTCTCCCACCCCTACACCCTTCCCAGACCCCAGCACCCCTGCTCCCCTTGGCCACACTGCGGGAAACAAGCCTCCCCCCACCCCCAGGTCGGCTACAACCTTCCCCTCCTCCCATGGGTGCTTGTGGCTGGGGTACACAACACGCCACCCCGAGCCATTTCCAGAGAATCCAGGGGTGTGGAGGATGCCCTTGAGTCACCCCCGAATCACCCCCAGCCAGTTCGACGGGAAGCCATTAGGGAGAGGAGGACAGTGACTAAGGGGAAAATTGACCCCACTCTGTCCAGGAGTCTGATGCTCCTGACTATCCCATCTTCAGCCCAGGCTGGCGGGGGGGCCAGAGATCACCAGGGTTGGGTAAAGCCACACAGCTGGGAAGTGGCTGGGCGGGTGCGTTGGTCCCCAAAGCCACGGTTAGCATGGGGGCATCGGCGGACACAGACAGAGCCAGGGCCATCATATACACATCTCTATATTTATATATTAGATACAGGCACAGGGTGGGCGGGGGCACCAGGCTCTCCTCATGCCCCCTACTCCACTTCTGTTCACCCACATACAGAGGCAGCAGGGGTGTTAGACGTGGCAGCTTTGGGGGAGAGGACTTAGGCCTGGGCCCTGCGCCTCAGGGGTACTAGCCCTTGGGCCTTAGGAAAATTCCTTTCAGGGAAAATGGGGTAGGGTTTTAATGGGTCAGGGCTTGCCCCGAGTCCCTACTCAGGATCCCGCATCCCCCCACTGCCCTTCAGGAGGTCCCAGGGCAGCCAGAGCCCTTCCATTCCAGAACTACCAGAGACTGGGGTAGCTGGGGTAGACAAAGGCAAGCAGCAGAGGGCAATTTGCTTTGGGGCCACCCAAGCCCCTCGGGCCCTGGGAGGGGAGGCGGGGCGGAGGGAGCCTTGGCCTGCTGGATCAGGAGGCCGGAGTGAAGCCGGGGAGGGTGGCCAGGCACGCCCTCTGCCCTGCCGGGGGGCCGCCAGGGGGCCGCCAGGGGGATTCTGGGCGGGGCGCAGTGTCCATTTCCTAACAGTCCAGCAGGGGAGGGGCAGGCAGGAGGCAGGGCCTAAACAAAAGGGCAGGCGGAAAGGCACTGTTAGCACCCACCAGAGGACCTGCCAGAGCCCTGACCTCCATCTCCCTCATCTCATCCTCACGGCTGCTGGGGATGAGCCTTGTCTTCCTTAACTGTACGTGGGGGGAGCCCCAGTGCCTATCTCAGGGTCCAGCTGGAGGGCGGAATGAGTTAATGCATATGAAGCCCTGAGAAGAGTGCTTAGGGCTCTGTGTTTGCTCTCGTCCTCAGGGCTCTCCCCGGGAAACTGAGGCAGAGAGAGCTGAGGGGTCTTGCACAATGTCACATGGCTCTTACTAAGTGTGAGGACTGGAGTTGGAGCGCAGGTGTGTCTGCCTTCCTTCCGTCGGGCTGCAGCTGGCTGGGAGGACGGAAAAGAGACTCGAGGAAGGAGAGCTGTGTGGGCGGGTGTGCAAACCACTGACCCGGACACCAGGTGGGAGGGGACTTGGCATCTGGGTCAGGCTGGGGACTGCTGGCTCCTCCCAAAGCAATTACTGCCCCACCTGCCTCTCTGCCCACATCGGGGAGCCAAAACCTGGCTCTGGTCCTCAGATCAGGGAGAGGGGCCCTCAGGGCCCTCTGGCCATGGGGCCCGGAGGGTGCAGGGGTGCAGGGGTGCAGGGTGTTGCCAGGTGGGAGACCTTCGGGGCTGGGGGAGAGGAAGCGGATGTGAAGGACTGGTGGCCCACAGGTCTGTGGCCTGGGCAGGCTCCAGCCTTTCTGTTGCCACCATGCACCTGCCTTGTGGGCGTGAACAAGCCTGTGACTGTATGGAGGTGTGCTGGGCACACTGGTATCGGGGTGAATCTGTGTGTGGGCAGTGGGGAGCACTCACCAGGCCCCAAGGAACGTAGGTGTCTGTCCAGATTAGGGGGCCTCCAGTGCCCCAGGCTGGAAGCGGGCTGTCTCTTGGAAGATGAGCTCCTTCAGCCGTTCCTTGGGTAGATCATCCAGCTCCATGTCGAAGGTGAAAGGCTCCTCAGCCACTGGCTGGGGTGGCAAAGAAATCAGGCTCAGGCCGGGTACAAGGGACGCCTACCCGTCACCTACCCGCCAGCTCCGCTGCTGGTGGCTGGCCCACCTCATCTGTTGGGTCGTAGTACTGCTCCAAGTAGGGGTGAGCCAGTGCTTCTTCCACTGTGATCCGTTTGTTGGGGTTAAAGGTCAACATCCGGTCTAGCAGGTCAAGGGCTAGGTAAGGGCAGGAGTCAGGGGTCAAAGAGAAGGCTGGAGGAGCTCCCAGAAGCATCGCTTTGCTTCTCGTGCCCAGGGTCCTGTCTATTCAGGCAGCTGCATGGCTCATGTACCCTCCTCTCCACCGAGTTTTTATCCGGTATTGGCCCCCATTGTCTCTCTCTCACCTTTGGAGTCTGACTTGGGAAAAAGCTTGGCCCAGGCCACCTTGGTCTTGGAGGGCAGAGACTGCAGGTAGTTTCGGGCCTTCATATTGATGATACAATTCAAGTCCTCCTGGGATGGGGAGCCCAGGATACCTGTGGGTAAGGCAGGTGCCTTGGTGAGAGTTCTCCTCTCCCTTCTGGGAACAGAAGGAACCCAAAACAAGAGTCCTCACCAATGAGCTCCAAGCCCTGACAGTTATTTACCAGCCAATACTATGGTGATGAAGGGCAAGGGTTCTGGGTGTGGGCAGCCACAGGTTCAAATCCTGATGTGAGCACTTCCCAAGTGTGGGGTGTAGCCTTGGCTTCTCCCATCTCTCGAGTGGGGACTGTGTCTATTATCTCATTGAAAAACCGTGAGGTGCTGCAAGGACTCCACATATGGTGGTACCCTGGCTATAAAGAAACCTCACCTCCCACTAGTCTCCCTCCCACTTAGCTGGCCAGGCCCCCTCACCCAGAATGTGGTTGAGCTGGTCCAGGTAGTGCTTGCCAGGGAAGATGGGCCGGTTGGAGAGCATCTCAGCCAGAATGCAGCCCACGGACCAGATGTCGATGGACTTGGTGTAGCCCTGGGGAGGAGGAGAAATCAGTGGGCTCCTGGGCCAGCCTCAACAGGGCCCTGCTGTCTGGGCCAAACCACGACTCCAATCTAGACTCAATACCAGCAGGGAGGAAGAGGGCAGAGGCCTGGAGGACCTAATGCTCAGCCTCCTCCCAGAGCCTAAAAACCGGAGTCATGTGACAAGGCCTGGAGGCAGATGTCCTGGATCATGGGGGTCATGCCTGGCTCAGGGGTGGCTCCAGGGCTTTCTGGGACTTGGCCCCTTCCCTTCAGGGGTGGGTGGCCCCCCTACCTTAGAGTTAAGCATGATTTCTGGAGCCCGGTACCAGCGTGTGGCCACATATTCTGTCAGGAAGCCAGTGTGGTCATGCTCGGGATCGGCAATCCGGGCCAGGCCAAAATCGCAGATCTGGAAGTCAACCCAGGCTGCTAAGCTCGCTGCTCAAGGCCCAAGGCCCGAGCAGTCATATCACCCACGCTGTTCCCTTTGCTTGTGAGGTTCTACTCAAGGGGGCTACTGGTCACCTAGAAGCCCCAAACCCGTGGGAGGAGGGGATAGGCACCCAATCCTCTGACCTTAAGGTCGCAGGTGGTGTTGATGAGCAGGTTAGAGGGCTTTAAATCCCGGTGGAGCACGTTGGCTGAGTGGATATACTTGAGGCCTCGAAGGATCTGGTAGAGGAAGTAGCAAACATGGTCGTTGCTCAGCTGCTGGCTTTTCAGCAACTTGTAGAGGTCTGTCTCCATCAGGTCCTGCACGATGTAGCTGAGGATGGTACCGGAGACCCCCTGGGCGGGGGCGGCAGGGGGCACTTGGTTAAGAAGAACAGGCTCTGGTGGCTAGGCTTCACGTCCCCTTCCAGCCAGTGCCCCTAAGACTCAGAACATCTGCCAACCCATCTCATGAGCTGCCCAAGGCCCAGACTCAGCAGGTGGGCTCAGGGCCTCTGCTGCATCTCAGCAGGCGGCCCTGAACAGAAGTACTTCAATTCTGTGGCCTCAGTTTCCCTACTGGGAAAGCAGGGATAATAAACTGCAGGAGGCAAGAGAGCTTCACAGTGAAGAGCAACAACTCTGGGGTTTAGTCTGCTGGTGTCTGAACCCTGCCCCCCCACTCCACTGCTTATTAGCCTTATGACCTCAACCCGTCTGCACCTCCCTTTCCTCCTGTGCAAAGTAGGGGAAAGAGTGGTTCTGTAGACAGTAGTTATGAAGCTTCAGTGAGATGACCCGCGTAAATCAGCCAGCCCAGCCCAGAGCTTGGCACGTTGTAAGTGCTCAGCAAACATGAATACTGTTGCTATTATAAATGCCTCAGCCACATGGCTGCTGAGAGGGTTAAATGAGATAGTGCGAACACCATCTGGCGTGCAATAAATGTTTGCTTAAAAATAAATGCCTGCCTTATGGGAATGGTTTGGGCAAGACAAATGAGGAGACGCTCCCAACAGCACACTACTCCTCAGAGAGTGCTTGGCCATATATCAGAAGATAGAGGAGTAAATGCCCTTTTGTATTTTAAGAAAAAACAAAGATTAAACATACGTTAAGTAAGTAAGTAAGTAAGTAAGTAAATAAATAAATAAATAAATGCCATTTGGTGGGTCTCTGAAAGAATAAGTCAGGACTGTCTTTTGGAATCAGCCTCGAAAGGGCCTTCTGAAGACATCTGGACCAATCCTGCTGTTTTAGAGGTGAGGAGGCCCACCCAGCAAGATGCAGTGACTTGCTTAAGGTCACACGGCGAGCTGGGGGCGTGTGTGGAGATTTCCTGCCCACAGCTTGTGGTGGGGGCTGCAGACAGTGCAGCACAAATCCCCATGTCTGGGTGGAGAACTGGGACTGCCTGGGGGAGGGTGGGGTGGGGAGAGGTGATGGGTGCTATAAGCCACTACCGACAGGGCCTGGCAGGAAGTGGACGGCAAGCCCGGGAAGCAATGTGGGGTGCCGGGGTAGGGGGAAGAGGGCAATAAAGGCAAGGCTGTCCCTCCCTGGGCAAAGTGCAAGTCCACAGGTGACTGGGGTGAGGCTCTGAGCAGGAAGTGCCAGAGAAAAGACAGTTCTCATCTGGGGGAGGGTAGGAGGAGGTAGCAAGAGCCGCGCCTGATTTTAGTCTTTCTGAGCCTCAGTCTCCTCATCTTTGAAATGGAGCTGGGGAGACCCATCTCCTACAGCAGCTGGGAGGGAGAATAAGAAAGGCCAAAGCGCCCCGCATCAGGCTCCCTGCTGGGCGGGAAGCCTGCTTCTCCCTCTCCCGATCCCCGGGCTTGAGTTTCCTCTCTTGCTGTGTCTCTGTCAAATAAAGAAATAAAATCTTAAAAAAGGAAATGCCAAAGCACTTGGCATGCACTGCACCTCACTCATAGTAGGCCCTCAAAAACGGGCAGTTTTCTTCCTCTCTGCCTTCCTTCCAGTCTGGGGACCCAGAGAGGAAAGAATCATCATCTGTTAAACAAGAACTGACTGTGGGCAGAGGCTGGGTCATGTCACAGAACTGCAGATGTCAAAAGACAAAGCTCCCATAGAGCCCAACCCTCCCCCCGCCCCCCCACCAATGAGGTACAGCACGGAGAACAGACTCGCCCAAGGCCACACAGCCTGGCTACAGCAGGCCAGGATTCACCTCAGGCCTCCCAGGCCTCTTACACCCTGTGGTCTCTTTTCTGCTGGAAAGTTTCATTTACTGGGTTTGTTTTGGAGTGTGGCAGGGAAGAAGGAAACAGAAAGAAAGCCAGCGTTCTCCCAGCCCAGCTCTGAGGCCGGGCCTGGCCAGCCATCTGGCCAAGGTGAAGGATACACATCCCTCATGGCTTCCAGGGTGGGCGCCCGCAGAATGTCCCGAATGCCAATGACGTTCTCATGGCGGAAGCGCAGCAAGATCTGGATCTCGCGCAGTGTGCGCTGGCAGTAGGTCTGATGCTCGAAGGGGCTGATTTTCTTGATGGCCACGCGAATCTTGCGCACGTGGTCGTAAGCTGAGCTGAGAGGGCCAGAGAGGTATTTGTTGGTGTGGCCTTACAGAGGGGGAGTCCAGGCCTGGTGGCCCCACCCAGGCCTGAGCAGGGAGGGGAGGGAGCAGGAGAGGACTCTGGCCAAGTCATAAACAATGCTGGTTCCTTCCTGCTGTGAAGGCCTGGGATCTCCAGGGAGAAAGCTGGGGACCGGCCAGGCAGCCCTTCAGTGACTTCACAAACAGAGGAAGAGACTGACCGCTCACTGACTTCCCCTCTCCTCAACCCTGTCCATTCTAGTTGCCCTGACCTCTCATCCTCCCCTCTCCAGGATGGGCTCCCTCAACCCAAGACAGGTCCAAGGAGTCGGCGGTGAGCGGAGGCCCCGCGGCGGTGAGGCAGATACAAAGAAGGGATGAGGAGGGCACCGGTGTTAGGGCGAGGCACCTGGGCAGGAGAGCTGTTCCCAGATGAACAAAGGCCCAGAGCACACGGTGGGGATGAGAGAGCTCACAGACCCCTCCTCAAAGTTGCAAGGACACACTCCTGGACCCCTCGTGGCTCACTGGGCCCCGGGCCCCAGGCCCAAAGCCCTGCCCCACCCTGCCCAGCCCTGAGCTCTGCTCTTCTCTCCCAAACTCCTTGGCAGGCCTCACTGGGAGAATCCAAGGCATCCTCTCCCCAGAGTAGGGTCCTTCACTCGGTCCTCACTAAGGATATCACCTCCCTAAGAATACTTAGTGTCTCCGCCTCATCCCGTGTCCCTAGGGCCCCCAAGGGCCCCACAGCTCCCCCGCATACACTCAGCTGTCCCTCCCCTCATTACAGAATGGTCGCTTCTAGGGCCTCCAAGCCCCCTCCCCTTAGAACGTACGAGGAGGCGCCGCTCCCCGAGAAAGCACCCCAAGGCCCCCTCCGTGGGACGCCCCCCTGCCTCGTGAAGCCCCCGCCTCCTCAGGACACTGGGAGTCTCCCCGGCCCAGAAGGCACTCCTCGTCCCTCCCGGCCCCCCACCCCCATGAGCCCCCTCCCCCGGAACGCCCCCTCACCTGACCATGCCGTACGCGCCCTCGCCGATGTAATGCAGCTCCGTGTAGCGGGGGCCCACGTCGAACGGCTGCCCCTTCACTACCTCCACCTCCCCCGAGACCCCCGGGCCGACCCCATCAGCTCCCCGGGGCTCCCCGCCCCCGCCCCCCTGAGCCGCCGCCGCCGCCATCTCCACTCCTCCCCTCCGGCCCGCCCGCCTCCCCCCGGCGGCCCCGCCCGAGGCCCCGCCCCTTCCCGCCCGCCCCGCCACCAGCGGAGCGGTGCGCGCCAGGCCCCGCCCCCGCGCGCCCCCGCGCGCCCCCGCGCCCGCCACGTGACCTGCGCCCGCGCGCTCCCGGTTCACGCTCCGCTGCTGCCGCCGTGCTCCCCGGCTCCCGCCCGCTCCGTTTGCTCCGGGCAGCCTAGGGGCTCCCGGGGCGATCGGGAGACGGTCCACACCCTCCCGTCGAATGCATAGCAGCCGGCAGGGCCGCCCGGTGAACTTCCCCAGAGCCACCCAGCAAGTGTGTGCGGGAGCTGGGACCGGGACAGAGTCGCCTGCCGCCCCCCGCCCCAGCTCTGCTACAGCTCGAGTTGTGGCCCGGGGCTCGAGATGGAACCCCAGGGGAACCCTCACCAGCCCTCTGGAGTGTGGCCTCCCTGAGCCAGGCCCGGCCCGATGATAAATTGGTCCCATCCGTATTTCCCAGTAGCGTGGGAGACGGCTTCTTCACAGATGTGGTCTGCCTTTCACAGATGAGGCCACTGAATGAAGCCTGAGCCGGGGCTGGTGACTTAGAGCTGGAGTACCCGCAGGTGCAGACTCCCAGCCTAATGGCTTTCTGACAGACACCTGCAAGACTGGGCTAGGGACTTGGCCTCTGCCAGCAACCCGACAGTGCCCAAAGTGAGGACAGATAACCTCAGCCCACTTTCCGTGGAACTGCAGCAGAAAGGCGGGGAAGCTGCCTGCAGTGTTGACTAGGTTTGGCTAAAATACGCTATCAGGCTTTTCTCAAAAACAGCAAAATAGGTAACTTTTTTTTTTTTTTTTAAGATTTCATTTATTTGACAGAGAGAGAGAGACAGCTAGAGAGGGAACACAAGCAGGGGGAGTGGAAGAGGGAGAAGCAGGCTCCCGGCTGAGCAAGGAGCCCGATGCGGGGCTCTATCCCAGGACCCTGGGATCATGACCTGAGCCGAAGGCAGACACTTAACGACTGAGCCACCCAGGCGCCCCGTAGGTAACGTTTTTGTTGTCGTGGACTTGGCAAAACTGGAATCCTGGCAAGATCATCATCTTTTGATTGGGTACTAGACTTTGTAGTTTACACCATACTTGGACCAGCTGAGTTTCTTCCGTAGGACAACCCCACATTATAGGTAGGTGTCATCTGATTTTCATAGGATGAGCCGGGGCTACATCTGTCTTACTGTATCTCCCCCCGCCCCCAATCCCCCGGGGCCTGGCACTCAGACATTCAAAGATTTTTTTGACTGGATGAATCAAATTTTACAGACGGGGAATCCGAGTTGGGGAGCTGAGACTCAAAATGGTATCTTCTGACACAGAGGCAGAGGCTCTTTTTAATTCCATTCAATCTCCCAGAATCATAGACTGTTAACACCAAGGAAAGGGCCCTCAGAGGCCATCCAGTCCATCCCCCTTACTTCACAGAGAAGATGTGAGCTGGAAGCTTCACAAAACACATCTCCTAGGCTTCAGTAAGTAATCACGTTGTTGGTTTTTTTTGTTTGTTTTGTTTTTTAAATCCCTTAGAAGCTGGGAATAGATCCTTATATGCATTACAGACCAGGAGACCAAATGGAACAGTAATTATGATTCTGAAATTGCTCATAATTAGATCTACAGTCAGGCACTCTAATTTAGATTAATGAGACCAAGTTGCTGGTTCCCAATAGCCTACAAGTCAGTGAAGGTTTAAAAAGATGCTAATTAGATAAATGTTTCGGGTTTTTTGTTTTGTTTTGTTTTCATTTTGTTTTTAGTTATTCATTTGATAAGCTATTGAGTAGCACCGTGTGCAAAGCTCTGAGCTAGGCACCGTGGCTGATGAAAGACTACTATATGGTTGTGAATTAGTGGTTAAGAGCAAGAGCTCTCTGGATTTCCTGGGCTAGAATCCCATCTTTACCACTTACTCGCTCTGTTACCCTGGACAGATTATCCTCTGGTCTCTCTACCCATGGAGTTTCTAATCTATTGAAGAGAAAAGGTGCACATACATAAATCAATGTAATACAAGATAGATGGATGTCATATGGGGTGTGTGAGCTCAGGGTTGGTGAGATCACTCTGTTTTAGAGAAGCGAGGAGGGAGTTAAGGAGGAGATAGCATTTGCATGATGGAAAAAGAAGTAGGGTTTGGGAAGGTCGGCATAGAGGGAAGGCATCAAGAAGGAGGAGCAGCGTGAGGCCCCGGCATGGAGGCAGAGCCTGATTTGTCCAGTATAAAGGATTAAAGGGAGTTCAGGCTGGAGAGGCAGCTTGGGGCTTCGATTCAAGCAGGGAGGTTGCATGTTACTCAGTAAGCAGTAAAAGCCTTTGAGGGACTTTCGCCAGATCATTTTGCAACTGTGGGAGAATATAATGACTCAGAGAAAGCACCATGGAGTTCAGCATGGAGCCGGGTTTCCTGAGCGGACCGGGTTCCCTGGCAAAGGAAAGGCGGGTGCATCGGGAGTGGTGGCTGCCCCATCAAGCTGCTGCTGTCTGTTTCAGAGGAGTGTGACTCAGACCCCCCTCTAGTGGCTGAGGCTGGTACTTCCTTGGGATTTCTTGGTCTATTTCAGAGACTGATACTCAACTAATAAAAGCTGAACAGTTATTCTGCACCAGGTACTTTTATGTATTTTGTCTTCCGTCATCCTCACAGCAGCCATATGGAGTAAATACTATGAACGTTTAACAGAAAAAAAAACAACCCAGAAGCTTACTGAACTACTGAGTTGGAAGGAACTGTCGGAATCATTTTCTCCATCGGACGGTTCATTTCCTCACAGCTCACTGCACTGTTAAGAGTTTTTCTAATGGCTGCCATTGGCTTAGTTCCAGCCTCTGGATCTACCCAGACTAAGGCTTAACCCAGTTCTTATCTTTGATGTCAAGGTCACAAGAGAGGCCAGTGGGTAGTTTGCCCAGGGTAACAAGTGAGTAACATCTGAAGAGCACAAGTCAGCATTCCCGTTTCAACCACCTCAACCTGTCAGCACAACCCGAGAAGGCATCAAATGGGCAGGAACAAGGGTCAGAACGCATTTAATAATTTATGGGGCGCCTGGGTGGCTCAGTCAGTTAAGCGTCTGCCTTCGGGTCAGGCCATGATCCCAGGGTTCTGGGATCGAGCCCTGCATTGGGCTCCCTACTTAGTGGGGAGTCTGCTTCTCCCTCTGCCCCTCCCCCTGCTTGTACTCTCTCTCTCTCTTAAAAATAAAATCTTTTAAAAAATAATGTATGAAGATTTAAGAACTGACCATTTTTTTAAACCCCAAAAACCTTCTGATACAGTTTTTGTTTTTTTTTTTTTAAAGATTTTTATTTATTTATTTGACAGAGACAGAGACAGCAAGAGCAGGAACACAAGCAGGGGGAGTGGAAGAGGGAGAAGCAGGCTTTCCGCTGAACAGGGAGCCTGATGTGGGACTCGATGTGGGACTCTATCCCAGGACCCTGGGATCATGACCTGAGCCGAAGGCAGCCGCTTAACAACTGAGCCACCCAGGCGCCCTGATACAGTTTTTGTTTTGCTTTGTTTTCATCACTTCTTCCTATCTTAGAGATGAGCTCTACTCAAACATCTCTCCTCTGGCATAACCATTCTGCAGATGACCCCTTCTCTGAAATATTTATTATTTTAAAGATTTTATTTATTTATTTGAGAGAGCAGGAAGGAGAGACAGTGAGAGAGTACAAGTGGGGAGGAGAGGGAGAAGTGGGCTCCCTGCAGAGCAAGGAGCCCAATGCAGGGCTCGGTCACAGGACCTTGGGATCATGACCTGAGCCGAAGGGAGACGCTTAACCGACTGAGCCACCTAGGTGCCCCTATTTTATTTTATTTTATTTTACTTTATTTTATTTATTTGAGAGAGAGAACCTGTACTCAAGGGGGTGGGGGAGAAGGTTCGATCTCACAACCCTGAGATCATGACCCTGAGATCATGACCTGAGTCAAAATCAAGAGTTGGACACTCAACCGACTGAGCAATCCGGGTGTGGTCAGCGCTGCCTGTCCCGCTGGGCTCCTTTCTCTACGGCGTCACCCCTGGTTACGTCATACTCCAGTGGTATCAACTGTTTCCTTTATGTAAATCTCTGCCCTTAGTTACTGCCTTTCTCCTTGGTTCCAGTTGCAAAGTTTCAATGTTTTCTGGACAACTTCACCTGGCATGCGGATGCTTTCACATCCAGTGAAATTTGTCCTTTTTACTTCAAACCTGTTTGCCTTCCAGACTCTGCTTGCTACACTCTGTCACAGCGTTGGACCCTGTCATGTCTTGTCTGTCTAGCCAACTCCTTGCCATTTTATTGTCATCATAGTTCCTGAGGCCATCATCGCTACCACGGCTCAAACCCTAATTGCATATTTTTATTTTTTTCCTTTTTAACTTTTTTAGATAATTTCATAATTGATGTTACCAAAAAGTTGCAAAAATATTTCAAAGAATTTCTGTATACCCCTTCATCAACATTCCCTAAATGTTAACGTTTTAAATAAACAGTGCAATTATTAAAATCAAGACATTAGCATCAGTAGAGTTCACCTATAGATTTTTTTTTCTTCAAATTTTGCCAGTTGTCCCACGAATCTCTGTTTTCTGGTTCAGGATCCAATTCAGGATCACATGTTGTGTTCAGTTGTTATGATTCCTTCATTTCCTTTAATCTGGAAAATTTCCTTAGTCTTTTTTCTTTTTTTTCTTTTTTTTTTTTTGGTCTTTCATGACCTTGAAGACTACAAGCCAGTTATTTTATAGAATGTCCCTCAGTTTGGGTTTGTCTTATGTTTCCTTGTGATTCCTTATTTCACTTTGCCTTCACCATTGTGTTGTCCCATATACCATTGTACTGATGAGGCTCCTTTCTTCAGCCCTTATGAGGTTTGTATTAAGCAGGAATCTTTCAGTAGCAAGAGGTCAAAGACCCAGCTCAAGCCGACTTAAACAAGAGGGGAAATTCATTGGCTTACTGAAAAGTTTAGAGGTAGATATTAAGGTGCAGTTGGCTCCAGGGACTCAATAGCATTAGGATTTTTGTCCCAGCCCTAA